TATTTATTACAACGTTTCGCCCGTTATACGCTCCAGCCTTCTTCAGGTGTAAATAATGTACATAATACCTCATCTCAGAAATATAGACAGATCATTTTTTTTTTGCAAAAATTAAAAGTTTTATTATTTAACGTGAAAAACACAATATTAAAAAAAAACCAACAATTTAATGGTTAAAATAACAAAAATACTTATTAAATAAAATAACAAATAATAATATATATATATATATATATATATATATATATATATATATATATATATATATATTATAACAAAAATAAATAAAAATGCAGTACCGTTTTTTTTTTGCATATCTTTTCTTTAAGTTGTTATATATATTTAATTTTGGTAAAATATAATGCACAGTGGGAGCCCTGTACATATAAACACAGCAGGAAGAGAAGAGTTTGTAAATCTTGACAAAAAATGTTTGTGATAACTTTAACAATATTAAAAATAGTGTAATGGTTTCAATACGCATTAGCGTGTTGCGAAAAATTCTAGTACAATAAAGTTTCATTTCTCTACGTTTATGTATAACTCAACACCAATGCATTTGGGGTAGTGTATTTCTTAGAAATATCATAAAGAACTGGGGTAGTGTATTTCTTAGAAATATCATAAAGAAATACACTACTGCAGTTGACTTGAACAAAAAAATTGTTTATTACGAAAAATTTAGAACAGTTCGCTTTATCCTCAAAAAATAACACACTTGCAAAATCAAAACTACAAAAATGAACATTATTTACAAGTTCAAATGCTCCTTAAGGAACTGTGTTCTGATCAAACCGAACTCCTAAATAATTACATCGGTCACACTACTACATGCCTATCCAGACGACTTACGTTACACATATCCGACTACAGCTTCATCAGAACTCATTGAAACACACACAGACAGACAAGCCTACCAGACTCCATCCGAAACATACTAGTAGAAAATACAACCATAATAACCTCATCTATATGTAAAAAAAAAACAAAAAAAAAACGATTCAAAATAATGGAAGCTATAATGATAAAAAAGAAAAAGCCAACACTCAGTAACATTAACTATGAACACGACCACAATGTGCTGACTGTGTTCGGAAAATAAAACATCCCTATAACTCTAGATGCTTACACACAACTCGTACATCCAAGTAAAAAGTAAAAATTAAATTATCTTTGATAATGGCTAAAGGTATAGCCGAAAGCGTTTCGAATTACAGAACATTTGGACAGTTTCTACACACTCTATATCTAGAAAAGAAAACACTTGTTCGAACACAAGAAAAATTAAATAAAAAGCCTGATCGCAGTACCTTGTCAGTCATCTTTAATGATATATATATATATATATATATTTATATATATATATATATATATATTAGTGATTGAGCCTTTTATATTATATTCTTCCTCTGTCCTGGACATTGAGCTCTACCTGGATTCTGTCTTCTTGGAAATGTGTGTATATATATATATATATATATATATATATATATATATATATATATATATATATATATAACATGCCTGCCGCATACACCATTCCGGAAAATTCTCCTTGAAAACACAACTAAACTTAAACATGAAAACAATAAACAAAAACTAAAAAATCTCCACAAATATTCTTAAATGCCTATAATTTATAACAGAAGCCATTGGTTTATACCAACGGCTTCCCATACTTAATACTTCTCGTTTTCACTCTCGCGTGGTCATGTGTGACGTCATGAGCTGCGGTGCGATTTTCGCTTCCAGCGTCTCGTATGCACGAGTTTGTCATTGCTTGGAAATCTTCCATGTAAACATAAACAGACTATCATTATTGTTTTTTTTTTCCGTGTATTGGTTAATATATTGTAATGTAATTGTCATTTTTGATAATGGCTTATGTAAGCCGAAAGCTTAGATAGGACTAAAAATATGTATCAATATTGTGATTTTTTTCTTCTTTTAATGATAATGTTATTAAGCTTGTCAGTCGATATGAAAAGAATTTACATAAAATAAAGACAAAACTTGTCTATATTATTTAATGAAACATGCATCAATGAAAAAATGCTGCCTAAGTACACACAATATATATATATATATATATATATATATATATATAAAAGCAAATATATGGATATAGATCCGACAGTATGAAGAAAAATACAGAAAAAACAAACAAAAATCTTAATATGCAATTATGCTGTATTAATGTTAATATAAAGTCAACGTCGGACGTTTCGGTCTATTTTAGACCATCTTCATGGACATTTTCATTTAAACATAATTAACATTAGAACATATAAAAATTTAACACAAAAGACTATGGACGTGATCATATTTAAACGGAACGCTGATCTTATATAAAAAATTTCAGTTATCTGTTTGGATTAGTTGTGCTTCTTATGTCCATCGTCTTTATATTAACATTAATACAGCATAATTGCATATTAAGATTTTTGTTTGTTTTTTCTGTATTTTTCTTCATATATATATAATATATATATATATATATATATATATATATATATTACATGAATCATTCATACAAAAAACAGATTAGTGAAGTTAATGATATAAATGGTGAGAAGACATCTTCGCAGACAAATTTATTAAAATTACATTTTTTGAAAATTTAAAAGAGAGTGCGTTTTTTTTTCTTTTTTACTAATATGGTAATTGGAGAATTCTTTTGTTGCAGTAGTTTTTTCAGTCGATGTGGCAGGAACTAAATTGTTCAATAAAAAGAGCAATGTCGCAGCTATTATCCCAGAAGTTGCACGTCGGATCAGTTCTTTTTAAATCAAATATGTGGTGCAGTTCAATTATTTGCACGCTCCAGAATTTCAATATCAGCGATAGAGCGTGTGTAAATATAAAAGTGGACAAAGAAGTCAACACTTAGAGGTGACAGTCTGTTTCATGCTAGACGCAATCGTCAGGCCACAACACACACACACATACATATATACTATGTTACTGACTTTAGTGTGGGCCGTTTCTCTATTTTATAAAGGTCCCACTCTTTATATCATCTCAAGGTCCTGGAGTCCTTATATATCAGATCTCGTAAGCCTTCCCTCTGTAAACGGAGGGTTTGTTTGCTGGGTCTGAATATTATTGGTCTCTAGTCTTCCTTGAAAATTTTTTTTCACTCTCATTAGTCATACACGTTTGTGCTTTTATTTCCCAGAATAAAACTTGATAAGACTGGGACGAAAGCGATTGTTTTAAGTTATTAAATTTACACTGATATGACGCTTATTCCTTGCTATTTTTGTACAACAAAAACACACACACACACACACACACACACACACACACACACACACACACACACACACATATATATATATATATATATATATATATATATAGCTCTTGAAAACATATTTTTAATTGAGCACTGTTGAATGACAAGCTAATTCTAAAAAAACCAACAACCACCTGCATAAATGTGAAGCTCTTCAGTAAAATGAATGGAGCACTATGACTGTTTATTTACATTTGTAAAAAAACAATATGCTAGATTTGGCTGACTCATTCTGTCGAATGAAGATAGCTCAGTGGTAGAAACTCTGACTGACACCAAATCGGTTAGGTTTCGATCTGGGCTTGAGGCATTCAGTTGTCAAGTCGCACTGAGGAAATGTGACACAGTACTGTCTGCGAATGACACACACACACACACACATATATATATATATATATATAGGGCCCCTAAGCCTGAATAATGGCACAAGTGAAAAGATACGAAATAATGGCACAAGTGAAAAACAGACTCTTTAAACGACTTATAATTAAACCGCGGTGGCTGTTTAATATTAAGCTATTTAAAGTTAAATTTCTAATCAGAGGACAGTTGTTGTCTGTTTATTTACTTCTAGTTAAGTTGTCCGGAAACCGTCAAGTACACACCATTGAACATAATGGCTCTTCTACCACAACCCCATCAGGGAAGTTATATTAAGTAAAAAATGAAACGAGAAGATTTGCTTCCAAGGATACATGTCTACAAAACAGATTATAAGATCAACTACTATCAAATGGAAATTTTTCCTATTTTTCCATCTGTCCCATTTTTACCAATGCTATTATTACATAAATTCACACATCTATCTATCTATCTATCTATATTTCTCATATTTATTTCATTCTTTTCATATCTATCTATTTATCTATATTTCTCCTATTTATCTCATTCTGTTCATATCTATCTATCTATCTATCTATCTATCTATCTATCTCATATTTATCTCATTCTGTTCATATCTATCTATCTATCTATCTATCTATATATATATATATATATATATATATATATATATATAGTTTAGTAGATATTTCTTACAACAGCGTCGAATTTAACTGATAAATTTGCACTTCACTACGAACAATAATATATATATATATATATATATATATATATATATATATCACCGACCTATTTGCACGAATGTTGTTACTTTCATCAAAATATCACCTTTGCCTTTTTTTTAAACATTTATAAAAGGCGCCATAACATCGAATTTAGTCTACTAATCCGTAACTAGGAACTCGTTCCATATGTACAAGGTGGTACGAAAGTCTTGTCACCGTCCCACCTCTCTTTCAAACTGTATCAGCCATTTGAAATAGAAAATTAGGGGTGATAAGATTTTCGGACTACCCTGTACATGTTTTGGATTGGGAAATTTAAAGAATAAGAACCTTTAAAAGTTAAAGCCATAAAAAAGGCATGTTTATTGGTCCTCTTCCATCAGAGATGAAAAGAAAAAAAGTTAACAAAAGAAAGGGAACAAAATAACATTACCGTAAAGTGGTCATATCGAAACACGTTTAACAAAAAAAAAAAAAAAAAAAACCTAAATCGGTTTATCGGTCCTATCTCCACAGAGCTTAATTGTATTTGCGCCTAAGTGAATATAACGAAACCAACTGGAATTAGAACTCGGCTCTCCGATTTCCAATTCCGAGTCATTGTCCATTACGTCACTTGCACATCCAAGCTTAGCGCACCTAGTATTCGTAAGCGATCACCCATCTAGGTACGAACCAAGCTCGACGTTGCTTAACTTCGGTGATCGCACGGGAACCGGTGTTTAAACGTGATGTGGCCGTAAACCTCATCAGAGAAAGAACCCATAAAGCGGTTTGGCTCTGTTGAAGCAGGACCGATAAAGCGGTTTGGCTCTGTTGAAGCAGGACCGACAAAGCGGTTTGGCTCTGTTGAAGCAGGACCGACAAAGCGGTTTGGCTCTGTTGAAGCAGGACCGATAAAGCGGTTTGGCTCTGTTGAAGCAGGACCGATAAAGCGGTTTGGCTCTATTGAAGCAGGACCGATAAAGCGGTTTGGCTCTGTTGAAGCAGGACCGATAAAGCGGTTTAGCTGTTTTTTGTTAATCCTGTTCTACTTCAACATTACCGCTTTACGGTCATGTTACTTTTTTTTATTACCTCACTTTTTTGTTATTTTCTTCTCTTGTTTTAACACGTCCGCTTTTATGGTTTTAATTAAATTTTCTACCTCTGCAAAAATATTTCAACCATGAAGTCACCCTCTACCCAATAATTATTTTGAAGAAAGAAGGAAAATATTAACAAGGTAGGAAAATTCCATAACTGGATATTCGGTAATGGAAAATTCAATAATTTTGACAAGGTAGGAAAATTCGGTAACTACGAAATCAAAGTCGATTGAAAATTGATTTTAGGGCCGTTATGGCAGTTTTAGGGGATTTAGGGGCTAAGTCTCCCTCTCTTGCATTTTAAAATAGAAATGAAGCGATATAGTTTTTGATTCTTTAAAAAGAAATAATTATTTAAAACTTGATTTATTTACTACTTTTTTTTTATTAAAATAATAATTTGAAAAAAATTACAAGAACTTATTTTTGACTCATCTTTCACCCGATTTTATTTGCTTGAAATCAATTGAGTATAGTAATTAAATAAATATTTAAAAGATATTTATTTAAAAATATTAGAGGAGGAGGGCTTAGCCCCCTAAAACCCTCATCTAGAATGTACTGGTATAGTATTGTGGCAGTGGGAATTTATCTGACCTGGAACCCATAATTTTTTTTTTGGTTAATACTTATTTAAACGTAGGGAGTAGCCCCCCCGTCCTCCAGAAAGTAAAGCCTTGGCATTATTGTTGTGGGATTTTATCCAGACACACATCATCATACTTATTATAAAACCCAGGTGTTGTGTGTGTGTGTGTGTGTGTGTGTGTGTGTGTGTGTGTGTGTGTGTGTGTGTGTGTGTGTGTGTCTGTTCGTTTATATATTGGATTGGTTTTCCTATATTTTTCAACCGATTTCAACAAAACTTTACAGGACTACATAAAATTACCTTGCGGTGGTTCTGACAGCGTGAAAAATTGTAAAAAATTGTTTTTGCATGAAATCAATTTGAAAACATGATTAAGAGGCATTAATGAAAGGGGGACAACTCATATCGAGTTATACTTATAAAACCCAGGTTATTTGTGTGTGTGTGTGTGTGTGTGTGTGTGTGTGTGTGTGTGTGTGTGTGTGTGTGTGTTTATATAGGGGATCGGATTTCCTACATTTTTCAACCGATTTCAACAAAACTTCACTTTTTTTGGCAGGTAGTGTTTCTTATTTTCTTCCACACTTTTTTCTTTATTTTTACATACAGAATGATTTAATAATTCTATTTACAAGGCAATTGTTTATAATAAAATTGAAAACAATGTTTTTGTTTGAGTTTGGGTTTGACCAATTCGTAAAAATAAAAAAAAATAAAAATAAACTAATTAAGACATGCGTGTCCGTCAACCTTAAATAATAATCTTTGTCAATTTTATTTTTCAGTCTTTATGATGGTCGATACTTGATCTATCTCTTACTGTTACATCCCCGGGCAACGCCGGGCTCTACTACTAGTAGTTAATAATACTTTAAAAAAATATTGGTGGCCTAGTCTCCTAAGCCTTACTTTTGCAAGTACGGCCTTGGTATTTTTGTGGTGGGGTTTTATCTAGACTCCCAAAGTTAATAATACTTTTTTGAAATATTGGTGAAAGAGGCCTACTTCCCTAAGCTTCATTTCTGCAAGTACAGCCCTGGAATTGTTGTAGTGGGGTTTTATCTGGATCCAACAATTTTTAGTTATCTAAAAATATATGACTTAAACCCCCACCAGAAGGGATCTAAAATCAATTTTCAGTCGACTTTTATTTCAATTGTTACCGAAATTTCCTACTTTGTCAAAATTACCGGATTTTTTTAAATTCGAATAAAATGTCTCTGGAAAACAATAAGGTAATTATAATTCAATATATTTATTTTAAAGTAAGTTATATTCGCCTGAAATACATTAATTTAATCACGGACTCCAATTTCTAAGCCTATAAAATTTTCGTCGGGATTAAAACATTAACAACGCGTTGATCATCTATCAGAGAAAATTAATTGTAAACGAAATCCTTTATACATGTGTACATATGGAGACAGGTGTTACTTATTATAACGAACTAGCTCAATACCCGTAAAAAATGACAGAATTCTTTTATGCATGGATCTGCAAGTAGCGTCATGGTGAGAGACTCGGGACAAGAAATTGGCGAGCCGAGTTCGAATTCCAGTCGAGATCATTACATTCTCTTTCGCACAAAGAGATGAAATATGTCTTCTCTTTTCCCCAACCTATCGGTTAAATAGTAAGATAGAACTTTCTAGCCATAGTTGGCAACTAATATAGGATAATGACAGCTCTGAATCCCAAACTGTATGTCACTGTATGGTACTTGAAGTGTAACTAAGATCCATTGATCATACTTGCAGTATAAATCAGAGTTTAGCTCTGTGGGGGCTCAGCAGATGGGTATGCTCAGAAACATGTAGCCATACCGAAGGGAAATCATTGATTTGTAGTGTGTCTTGTGGTCGAAATCGTTCTGATGACGTATCAGCTCTTCCGTCTCGAATCAGAGCTCCATTATATGGGCTGGGATCAAAGTGTAGTTTCTGCCTTTCAACGAATAAACAGCATTTTCATCTCTCAGTTGTGTCTCTCTCTTTGGACAGAAGGCAATATTACTGAGAAGTACTCGGCATCGGGAAACAGTTTCCGGGGGCACTACCTCTTTCATTGCACTAAAGAAGGGGGAGTCTCGTGAACTGGAGCTACAGAATCGCAAATACACACACACACACACACAAAACTGTACTGAATAATAGAAATCACATCACTGAAGAACTTTCAAATGCAGCAACACATAGAATGGATAACACAGGTAAGTTGAAGAGAAAATAATGACATAATCAAGATGTTGGCATTCCCCACTACTTCAAATAAAAGGTTAGGAAGGAAACGTCCATCAATACTGGAAAGAGTGATAACAGCTACTGGGCTTGAGAAGAGAAAATAATGACATAATCAAGATATTGGTATTCCACACTACTTCAAACAAAAGGTTAGGAAGGAAACCCCCATCAAGACTGGGAAGAGCGACTTGAGAAACCTATTTTCATGAAAAATTATTTTAAAATAAAGAATTTATAAATTTTAACCTGCAATGGCACTGTCTGCTCGGTCAATGAATGTCGAATGTTTCCTTATAAGGAAACAGTTAATATGACCATTACCTTGTCCCCAATAAAAAGACAGTGTAGTATTCTCACTTTTATTAATATCATAACTTTCCAAAGGCACCCGATTAATGGAAAACTGTCTTTTACGAAACATATAACAGCCTCTTTAATTCGTTTTATCTGTCATTCTCTCTCTCTTTCTCTCTCTCTGTTATTAGACGGACACACACGCACATGCTTTCCTAAGGACAAACATTTATACAATTATACACGTTATCTGTTAATAAGTATCATTCGTTGCCTCTTTTCCAAACGAGCAAAGCGTACGGACCACATCCGCCGGAAGTTTGACTGTATCTTTACGCAAGAGAAAGTAGGTCCGGATGTATTTCTCCTTCTAAGGAACGGAAGTATCATCCCTGCCATTTTTCTTTTATTAGCTTTCTTTTTTTCTCTTCCCCTCACACACATATACTCTTTTTCTCTTCTTTTTAAATCAGACCAGAACTTTGTAAGAAGAGATAGCATCAAATAAATCGACTCAATATATCTGTAACGGCTTCTCGATTAAAATCTTAGAAAATCTAGCGAAACAACCTTTTGATACGATACCCGCCTGTCGCGACTCGTTTTCGCAAAGCAGCCTCTTCGGGCGACGCTTGCTAGATCTGTAACAATGACATCCGGACTGAGGATTCTCTATTTACCAACCTCCCCACAAGGCACGATGTGGCACAAGGCCAGTTTTTAACGTTGGGCGTTCCGAGCACGTAGGCTCGGGCAAAAATTGTCCGTAGACCCAGTATACACGGGGTTGGGTTTGTCTACTTCCCCAAATAAGACTCCGCCCTTCGGCATAGCCTCGTCTGAGTTCTTCTCCACCCGGAGGTGAAGAGTTAGACAAGAGAGGAAGGGGAAGAGACTTTGGCAGAGTGTAGTGAACTTTAAAATTTTTTTGGACAATAGTATTTAACTCTGTACAAGGTTCAAGAGCCACTCGAGGTAGAGGGTTGCAGAGTAAGAGGCACAGTTTATGGGGATATGTAGGGGGGACTTCTTTTTTTTTTTTTTAAGCAAATCACCCCAAGCAAGGTGGTTACAAAAAGTGAGAACAAGAGTAAAAAAACAGAAACATCTTGAGAATTGATTCCACAAATTAACGGTTCATGGGAAGAAATTGCTTGAGTAGAACTTACATCTCACCAATCCAATACGAAGAGAATGAAGGTGGTTCGTTAAAATGTGCGGGGAATGTCGGGTCTTAGCCGTGAAGGTTAGAATTGGTGGAATTAAGGAATGTAGTTTGGCTGAGCACTTTTCATGGAAACAGCGATGAAACAGAGAGAGACTTGCTTTTTTTGTTTGTTTGTGGGAAAAGAGGTTGTAAGGTGGAAAATAATTCGTCACCCACAACGACGAGGAAACGCTTTTGAACTCTATCGTGACGACAAAGTGAAGTCAGTCGCTTTCTCGACTGACTGATCGGTTTAACTCTCTGTCTTCGGACGGAGAGGAACCCGAAGGAGGCTACGCCGAATGGCGGAGTCTCCTTCGGGGAG